ATTCCCATGGTATAGGGTCCTTAAGGTAATGCAGGATTTTTATCATAACCTAAGTACTACTTTGGTAGGGTTTGGGGATACAGGTAGAAGCCTTCGATCCTAAAGCCTACGAGGTTTGGGCTCCGCAGTCTCATGTCAAATAGCAAATCAATACGGACCGACGAAGATCCGGTTTAGGATTTAGGGTTCAGGGATGTTCGGGGATTAGGCTGAAAGGCTATGCACCTTGTAAATTTCACTAGCACGGTTCCCTCCGAATTTAGGGGCTTAAGGCTTAAGGATCTTAAGTAAGGTATCTACAGACAGGGTTAGGAACCAGGCGAACTCTATCTACATGTATAGGTATGTCTGTGCATGTGTATACATGTGCAGAATGCATGCGCGACTTACCTCTAAACGTACAGTACCTAGATGCATGAAATGACTTCACTGCAGCTGTGCGATACCACGTTTTGGCTCTTCACGTGCCGCTCACAAGGCATGTGAAGCACAAGGTAACCAACCCTAAACCCTAAACCCTAAACCCTCACACGCACCGTCCTACAGCACATAACCCTCCGTCACCCCGAACTCCGAACCCTGCCCCAGACATCCTGGACTCTAAAACTAATTAATTAAGACATAAACCCCAAGTCTACTAAACCCTGATCCACAAGTTCTGGGATCAATTTTGGGTTGAAGATGTTGGGGCTTCTGGAATTTTTTTCTTCTGGCACAGAGCTTAATTACAATGGTAGCGTTTTGCTGCCTTAACAACTCTGCGTTTAGGGAGGTCAGGGGTTCATCCCGACCATTTGACCTCTATCCTCAGAGCCCTAAACTGAAGCCGTAGAGCCCGGGGTTAGGGTTTCGGGTTTAGGGTTTCGGGGTTTTATTAGGGTTTAGGGGTTTAGGGTTTGGGGTTTAGGGGTTTAGGGTCTTAGGGTTTAGGGTTTAGGGTGCCTTAAAGCAGAAAACCCTCTCAGACGTCAGTTCCTTCAGCTCCTGATGATGCGCGGGGCTCCGACGGCGCGGCGGGCCATGCCGACGCCTGCTCCGGCAATCCTACCCATAGGCTCCTTAGTAGTTCCTTTTTGGGATTGCCCCACAAAAAGGAACTACTTAGGAGCCTAAACCCTAAACATCCCTAGGGTTATAGGGTTTAGGGTTCCCTAAACCCTAAACCCTAAACCCCTGAAGCCTGAACCCGAAACCCTGAACCCTAAACGGTGGGTTTGGCTTAGGGCATCCTTTCTCTTGTCGGGCTTTGCTTGAAGACTAAAATTCGACTGGAAGATTCTTTAAATTCCCAGAGACGGCAAACCCTAGAAGTATGAGTTTTTAGATTGGAATCTACTCTAAACCCTAAACTTCCTAAACCCTATATATAATCCCTAAACACATCAAAACCCTCAACCCTGAGCAGGGGCACGGTCCGTGGCAATTGGAGGCTTTGGGGCACAGACTATAGGGTTTAAGATTTAGGATTTAAGGCCTAAGTTACGGGTCCGGGGCTTTGGGCTGTGAATTTGCAGGCAGCTTTGGCGAGCTCGAAAATATTTCGAGATTCTAGGTGCAGGGCGGGTCTGTCTTTATGAAAGTCTTCGACCTAGCTTGGGATATTCTTGCTTTGAGAGATCCTTTCAGATAAGATGCTGCTGCTCGCATGTCTGTTGGTGCCTTGTGTTGGGAAGCTCTGCAACAGTGACCAACTACGAACCCCACAACTCTCAGCTCCTCCAACCTGAATAGCCCTTTAAAAAAAAAAGCCAAAACTGCGCAGTGAAGTCCCGCCTTGTGGCTTGCTAAAATAGGCATTCCCTGATGCAAACCGCGGGCTGGCACCATCATCGACATGGGATCTCGAAGGTAAGGGACACAAGGCAAAGGCAACGAGTCTGGACCCGAGCTGCTGGCAATGCAAGGATAGCAAAACAGCTAGTGAGCAGCGAGTGGTTTAGGGTTTGGGGTTTAGGGTTTAGGGATAGCAAAACAGCTACAGGTGGAGGTTTCGGTAGCATCAGAAACGTCGTGGTAATGCAGGATTTATATCATCAACCGTACGTAACACAGAGAAACCATGACAAGAAACCTAAATCGGCAATTTGCTTCTAAACCCGAACCCTGAACCGTGGTAGAACTCCAAGGCATGGGACCAGGTGGCTGTCCCTAAACCTAAACCCTAAACCCTAAACCGTCTTGCCAAAGCTGCGTCGTGAGTCGTGAGGCTTAGGGTCCAAGTAGTTCCTATTTATGGCTTAGGGTTTAGGGTTTAGGGTTTAGGGTTTAGGGTCTCGGGTCCAAGTCGTCCTTACTTATGGTTTTAGGTACCCACAAAAGGCTACAAAGTCCTTAAATAGTGGGTACTTGGGCCCTGAGGGTTGAGGCTTGGGGTTTAGGGCGTTCTTTCCATTGCTACTCATACGGGTCTTTCCGAAAATTAGGGTACCTTATTTTGAGGTCCTTATAATAAGGATCCTACTAGTTAGGGTACTATATTAGGGTCCCCTATTTTCGGAAACCCCCATACTGATGTTGCTCTGAGTGTGGCTGTTGTTTATTACTGCAGCCATTGATCAGCTCCCGGAAGGGCGGCAGAACGGTTTGGGCTTTAGGGCTCAGGGCTTCCCTAAACCCGAAGCCCTTAACCCTAAACCCTAGGGCTCAAGGGCCAAGGATGTTGAAGGCCTTACCGATAGAACCCTGGAACCTCATGTACTATATATAGTTATATTATAGTTATATTGTAGTTGTTGTATATGTTATAGCTATATTACAGTTATATGATCTCATAAGGTCCCACATTTCTCAAAGGGAAGGGAGCGACAGCTTGTACTTGGCGAGTTCAAGTCAGAAGTCCTCTAGCCAGCTTTGGTTTAGGGTTCAGGGGTTTAGGGTTTTTTGAAGGTTTAGGGTTTAGGGTTTAGGGTTTTTGTAAGGTTTTGGTTTAGGAGTTTAGGATTTTTTTAAGGTTTAGGGTTTAGGGTGTTAGGGTCCCTAAACCCAAACCCCAAGTCTTAAACCAGCACCTGAAGCCCCACATCCTCGATCGACCCCTAAACCGAAGCCCTAAGCCATAAATCTCTAACCTTTTACAACCCAAACCCTAAACCCTATCTGACAAACATTGCAGTACAGATCAACCTCATGCTCTTTCTTTCAGGAGCTCAGGTTTCGAGGGTCTGTCAGTGTCGCAGCACCCGTCCCGGAATCCTGACCGTCTCGACCAGCCGGGTTTCTTCAACGGAACGAAATTCAACCCTGCACGAACCAGCAATGCCGACGAAGAGACGAACAAACACACCTCATAACCCAAGTAACCCAACAATAGTGTGCCCGAACCCGCACTCCTATCCCCCAAATCCCCCACGCCCTAACCACCTAAGCCACCAACGCATAAGGCATAAGACCCCAAGCCTCCTAAACCCTCACAGGAAACCTCAAAGCTCTCACAGCCTTCAGCCCTAAACACTCAACCATTCTGAAACCGGAAACCCCAAACCCCAAACCCTGAAACCCAAAACCCAAAACCTAAACCCTAAACCCTAAACCCTGAAACCCAAAACCTAAAACCTAAACCCTTAAACTCAAAACCCTGAAACCCAAAACCCAAAACCTAAACCCTTAAACTCAAAACCCTGAAACCCAAAACCTAAACCCTAAACCCTTAAACTCAAAACCCTGAAACCCAAAACCTAAAACCCTAAACCCTAAACCCTTAAACTCAAAACCCTGGCCCCTTGAGCAGGCCAAGGCGCCCGAAGGCAATGCGGAAGGATCCGCCGGCGACCACCATGGAAGCTGCCACCTTCATCTACTTAGAGGCCCAGGCGACTTAGTAAGTCGGTTATAAGTAGGGTTTTAATTGGGTTCACTCCATTTAGGGTACTTATAACTCTACTTATAACCTACTTACGAAGTCCCCTGGGCCTTCATCTAGGGGCCCTAGTCATTAGAAGAAGGGTTTTGGGCTATGTTATACTGTAATTAATCGTCATAGTTAAGGAGCCACCAAAATAATATTGGCAATTATGTAGGCACCCAGATGATGACCCTAAACCCTAAACCCCAAATCCTAAACCCTAAACCCTAATCCTAAATCCTAATCCGTCATGATTAAACCCTTTGGGCTTTCTTCGGTTCAGGGCTTGGAAGTTCTGGGCTTCAGTGCTTCGAGCTTGCGCTTGAGAGGAGAGTTGAGGCTTGAGGGTTGAGAGGTTTAGGGTTTACCGGGATTACCGGGTTCAGGGTCGAGGGGTTGAGGGTTTACGGGTTGAGGGTTTAGGGGTTTAGGGGTTTAGGGGTTTAGGGTTTACCAGGTTTAGGGTTCAGGGTTGAGGGTTTAGGGAGACCCAAAACACTTCATCCACCATCCCAAAGGCCCAAAGCCAAAAAGCCTGGCACCGGGCATCGCTCGGCCTGCGCCGCTGCGGCGCGGTGCGGAAGGGATGCATGCGAAAGAAGCGTTACCTTTATGAACTTTATGGTATCCTTAAGGCGGGGGGGGGTTCTAAGAGCGGTATGTAGCCCAATGATCCCCAATCATCCCTAGATACCGCTTCTGGGTTGGAGCTTAAAGGGTATAAGGTGGTGTTGAACTAGGTAGGCCAGACCAACCGCTGAGAATCGGCCTTCCCAAATAGCCGCAACCGTCTGCTGCTTTTCAGTGCTGCAGGCAGGGAACGATTGAATGCTGTTTCAACCATGCAAACGCCTCTTGGAAGGTGCTCACAACTCGAGCCAAACGGCGTGGACAAATGCCTCCAGCTGCTGCATGCCCGAAACATGGCAAAGCTCAGAAGGCCAGAAACACGCAAGCAAACCACTTGTCGATTTTCCGGTGCTGCGCTGCCAGGAAAAACTTTCCACGCAGAGGACGCTCTTGGGCAGGTACAAATGGAAGCAGAGGAGCAAATAGGTTCAATCATCTAGACAGTCCAGGCATGACTTACACTCTCCTTTGAGCGGCCCCTGTCGAGCAAAGTAAGAAACCTGGCACGGCAAAAAAATGGAGAAAGTGGTCAGCTACGGCAGAAACGGCCACGCAAGGCCAAGCAGTTCGAAAAAATGGCTTTGCCATCTGAGAATAAAGCCACCCCTTGAAGCATAATATAGATGACACCAAGACAAGCAACAAGACACGACTCTGGCCGGGGTCCACCTGCGATGTTCACAAGCACGTTTGCACCGACTGCTGCGGAGAGGCCAAAGACGTAATTGTACACTAGAAATGCGCCAACTGCTCCCAGAATGTATTGCAAACAGACATTCTGAATGTTTGCTCGAATGAACCTGGGTTCTTGTTGGGGCCACAAGAGTCACATTGTTATTCCATACTAGTTTGTTATCTACCTTACAATGTAAAAAATGTTTCCGAACTATGACCCAGACACCTCAGCATTCGAAGCAGAAGCGGTTGAAGTTGGGGAGCTGAGAGTAGACACAGGACCACATTCGCAATAATGTTGCAAATGAAATACCTCGGTTCTCGCTGGGGCTATTTAAATACTGCAATTCTTCATTCCATACTAGCTTGCTATATCTACCTTAAAGTGTAAAAAGCTTTCTAACTATGATCCAGATACTGGTCGGCGGAAGCAAATCCTTCTCGCTGTGCAGCTACCTCGCATTGCCCAAACTCGCAGTCAAAGGTCAGCAATACTTGGCCAAGGACAAAGGGCATAGATACACTTGCACTCAGAGTCCACGGGATCATGATCTCGCCCCCAACAGCATACTCAAGCTTGTCACGCATTGGCCCTCGAATGTAAGCATTGAACTCATCCAGCATAACTTCCTCAGTTGCATGGAAGCGGCCTGCGTGAATCGAAGGTTCCGAAGACCGCGTGTTGCTGGTCACCAATGGAGCATTCTCGGCCGGGGACTCATAACCACCAAATTCAACACTCACAAGAGGGTCCCAGTATCCCTCAGCAAGGTTGGCGATGTGAGACATGATGATTGCACGGTCACTTTCCACTTTGCACTTTGCATCACGATGATCAAATGCAGCCATCCTGGCCAACAACGTGTCATGAAGCTGCAACCGTCGGAAAGGTAACACAAAGCTGGGCAACGCATAAATGGCATAGATCGCCGTCGGCGACCACCAGGCCAGAAACGTCTCCCGGATGAAAGCGGATCGATCGAGTTCCTGCTCAACCCCTTCTGAGCCTTCCATGGTGGGTGTGGGGTAGTTCGAGATCATGATCACCTGGGGTGGATTCAAAAGGCCTATAAAAACTATATTCTTATGGGTTACAGAGGATGATTATATAGGGATTCTAGTCCATAAAACTTAAAGATTATTCCAAGAACAAGTCACTAGTGCAAGAAAATCGGTCACAACTGTAGACAAGACCCAGACTGGCAGCCAGGAAGGCATCAAGTGCCTAGATTGCCGGTAGAAGCCTATGAAATATATTATGGGTTTAGGGTTTACAGGTTATAGAAACGAAAAATTCAAAAAATCTAAGGGCTATACAGGTGCATGGCGTTGGGATCGGCAGAATGTGTAGTAGAGAAAACCGCCACCTCAAGGTTGCACCAGAGCCTTTCCTTGACTGTACTTGGAACTCTTATAGCAAGCTATATACTTTGCTGTTTCTTAGGATTCGTACTAACAACACCAAGCTACTTCCAAGTGCGGCTGAGTTTCTAGGTAGGTTTCGTCCAACAAAATCAGCATCTCACGTGAGTTTGCCACAAAGTGCCTTGGCTGACTTCTGAACCCCTCCACAAAGTCAAACTGTTAGTCTCCTCATTCTAGTTATATAGAAAGCCAAAAAGTTAAAGTCCTAAGGGCCAACCAGAAGAACGCCAAGGTGCGGCAGGGCATCGATGGTCTTCGCCTTCAAGTCCAGGTTTTCTTGGTGAACGCAAATCCTGTCAAACCAAAAGGTCCTTCGAGACGGCTTAGGGTCTATTTTGGGTTTAGGATTTAGGGTTTAGGGTCCTTCGAGACAGTTTACGGTTTAGTTTGGGTTTAGGGTTTAGGGTCCTTCGGGAGAGTGTGTGACCCAAGAAGTACACCAGGAAGAAGACGGCCACAGGCAAGTAGCAAAGGAACCAAGACAACAAACCAGTTCCAGCAAAGGAGTTGTGCAACTCACTGACGCTTCCGGCATGCATCAGAAGAATCAAGGCACTTCCTAAGCTCATCGAAAAGGCCGAGAGAATCGCCTTGTTGAAATTCAGGAACTGGCACAAAGACAGAAATTTCATCCAGGCAGGGTCAGACCATGAATGGCTGATGAACATGTCCACAGCCTCCACATTCTGCAGGGAGTCATAGAATTCCTGCTGTGTGCTTGGCTCCGTGGAATGACAAAGCCAATCACTTGCAACATGCAAGGCCGTCGCGGCTTTGAAGATCCCATCATCAATCTTGTCACCTGGTAAAATTGGTGCCATGTCTGGCACCGTTTCGTGGCTTGAAGGGCGCAGTGAAACCTGCTCCTACGGAGACATGTAGATCTCTGCGGAAAAGCAGTCTCAGCCTTGACTTGGATGGAGCCGTGCTTAGTTTGAACATTTTGTGTTCTGGACCATCTTCTGAGTTTTGAAGCTGTCTCTCCCTCTCTCTCGTCCTTACTTCATGGGTGAATAGCTCAGCTGTTTTGAACCTACAAGAGCTACAAATCATGAACAAATCACCCCCATTGGCTTTGCTGCTGATGGAATCCGCAGATGCTGGAGCCATCAAGGCCAGTAGTCGGCGGCTCTGTTTAAGGTTCAGGGTTTAGGCATGCACATCAAGCCATGATATAGTCTTTCGAAGCATTCTGTCCCACAAAGGCTGTCGCAATCCTTTTCCCAGCAGTCCAGCGGCAAGCTCTAACAAAGTGCAAGATGTGCACTGTACCGTCTGCCTGATGCCCAAGGCCCCTTCGAATGCCATGGCGGACGGCAGATGGAAAAGTACGACAGCCAGCTTTGGCTGGCTGATCAAAAGCCGTGCTTGGCAAAGGAACACTGAAAGCGTCATTAAACTCCATGAGAAAAAAACAGCAGAAACCCTAACCCTAATCCCGCCCGCTTCTTCCTTCAGGTCGTGGTGATGCCTGCAGCACCGACGAGCTGCGTGGCAAGGACGGCGCCTGCCTCCGGGTTGCTTGTTTTGCTTTTTTTGTTTTTTTTTTGTTTCCGGGCTTTTCGGGGTTTAGGGTTTCAGGCTCGAGGCTTCGGGTTTAGGGTTCGGGGTTTAGGGTTTAGGGTTCGGGGTTTAGGGTTTAGGGTTCAGGGCTTAAGGTTTAGGGTTCAGGGTTTAGGGTTCAGGGTTAGGCTGTAATTTTGGGGCTTCGGGTCTGATTTCGGGTCTTGCTTTGACGCACTGCTCGAAATCTTTACCAAGATAGACTAGACATGTGTAAGTGTGGCTATGGGTTTAGGCTATGGGTGTAGGGTTGTGAGGGTTTAGAGTTTAGGGTTT